ACTCCTCGACTTCCATTGTTCTCGATCTCCAACCGACCTGTCTGTTAAGACAGACCGCTCTTTAGGTCGTACACGATATGCTATGGTGTCCCATAATAATTTGTGTTTTGTCTATTCAACTATTTAGACTTACTTAATATAGTCCTTCCAATAAATTCAACTTAAAACATAATACTAAGTAATTAATTGATTTAGTTCTTTATGATTGTTCAGGAAATGCTACGTTTCCGCTACATTACCATCTCATCAAGTGTTACAACCGTTGGATCCACATGTAGTTAGATAAGGTAGATGATCCAATGGTTAAAATATCCGACGGGATGGTACCGTAACGGGACCGTAGCATTTCCCATGATTGTTCTAATATGTAAATATTTATGTTATATAAAAAAAAAAAATGATAGAAATTGGTGAAAGTGCACAATGCGCGTCATATGTGCACACGAGTCCATAATAGGTTGTGCCTAAAATGTAACATAAGCAAGAGAATTCAAGGTAATCACATGCCCCCAATTTCGTCTGTGTCTTCCTTTCACCATTATAATATTTTTTCTTATCGAGATGCATCCAAGTTAACAAGCAAGCACTTGCAAGTTTCCAGATTAGGGTTTCGAGGGATAAAACACAATCAATCCACAACTTCTGGTACGATCCTCGAATTCGAATCTCTTCATTTCTTCACTAGCTGTTTAGCGCTCGTCGTTTCCTCTGAAGGCCTCGAGTAGGAAAAGAAAGATTCGCAAAAACAGGGGGGGAAATTGAAACCAGGTTGAGCCAAGCCATGGACGAAAATGAATCCCTAGGTGGAGATCCGAGCGAGCAGTTCCACAGAAACGAGGCGATCTCTGCCGTCGCCGACGAGGGTTTCCTGGGCGAGGAGGACGATGACTATGAGGATCTCTACAACGACGTCAACGTCGGCGAGAATTTTCTTCAGTCCCTTGGCGGGAACGAGGATAATTTAGGGCAGAGGAACCAAGGGGTACAGGAGAGCAAGGCTGACACCGGCCCGACCCCGACCGCGGTGGCGCCTTCGTCTCCGGCACCATCTCAGCAGCCGCCGCCTGTGCAGAGTGGAGGCGTAGCTTTACAGGATGAGGGGGCTTTGTCGAGGGTTCCTGGTATAGTAGAGAAATACCAGAATATGGGATTTGGAGGAAATAGTAACACGAGTGATGCCGGAGCTGGTAGAGGGGCGGGACCACCAGCTGGCAGTGGAGGCGGATTCAGGGTTGAGCTAGGGCAACCTTCCAGCAAAGCAGCTGATTTGGAGGACCGTGCAGTGAACGCCGTCCTGAATAATCAACAAGTGGTTCATCCTCCTCCTCAGCAGCAGACACACCCTGGTAATATGGGGAGTGCTGAAAATGCGAGGAATGTGAATGGGGCTGGTGGAAATGTGTACGGAGGTGATGGTGGAGGCGGAGTGACAGGCGTTGGTGGTGATGGCGGAATTGGCGGCGGAGGAGGTGGGGGCGGCAGCGGGGGTGGAGGAGGGGGAACAATTCTTTTTGTTGGAGACCTGCATTGGTGGACAACGGATGCTGAGCTGGAATCGGAACTGTGCAAGTACGGGCCAGTGAGGGAGGTCAAGTTTTTTGACGAGAGAGCCAGCGGGAAGTCCAAGGGTTACTGTCAGGTTGAGTTTTTTGACCCATCAGCCGCTACCGCCTGCAAGGAAAGGATGAATGGACATGTATTCAATGGGCGGCCCTGCGTGGTGGCATATGCCTCGCCTTATACTGTCAAAAGAATGGGCGAAGCCCAGGTGAATAGGAACCAACAGCAGATGGGTCCGGCAGCTGTCAATCAGCCACGGAGAGGTCCTGGCGACTTACCTGGCAAACCTGGAGGTGTTGGTAACAATTTCAGCGGTGCTGGTGCTGGGACTCATCCGATTGGTGGTGACAACAATGGTAGAGGCTTTGGGAGAGGAAACTGGGGTAGAGGTAATAATCAAGGAGGAATGGGAAATAGGGGTCCGGTTGGCCCCATGAGGAATAGGGGGGCTGGTGGAATGGGGGTTCGTGGTTTTCCGGGCAATGGATTTGGGCAGGGGATTGGTCCCGCCAATCCCTTGATGCATCCTCAGGCAATGATGGGTCAAGGTTTTGATCCTGCATTTGGAGGTCCAATGGGTCGGATGGGTGGCTATGGAGGATTTCCCGGTGGTCCTGCCGCTCCCTTCTCTGGAATTTTGCCATCATTCGGACCTGTTGGAAATGTTGGCCTGCCAGGCGTGGCCCCACATGTTAATCCGGCGTTCTTTGGTCGGGGGATGCCGATGAATGGAATGGGAATGATGCCCAACCCTGGGGTCGAGGGGCCTAACATGGGAATGTGGTCGGATCCTACTATGGGGGGATGGGTTGGTGATGAACACGGAGGCCGAGCGGGGGAGTCCAGTTACGGAGAAGAAGCCGCGTCAGACCATCAGTATGGGGAAGGGAGTCAGGAGAGAGGGCCGTGGCAGAATGCTGCTAAGGAAAAAGACAGGGGATCAGAAAGGGATTGGTCCGGGTCCTCCGAGAGGAGGTACAAAGACGACGGAGGAGCTGGCTATGAAAGAGACGCGCCTAGAGAAAAAGACGTAGGACGTGATAACGAGTGGTCAGAAAGGAGAAATCGTGAAGAGAAGGATGCGGGGAGGGACAGGCAGAGGGAGCGGGAGAGGGATCGGGAGCGTTCCCTGGACCATGAACGAGGTGGCCGTGAACGTGAGCGTGAACGGCATAAGGACGATAGGGACAGGTATCCAAGCCATCATAGGCATAGGAGCCGTGATGCGGATTATGATGATGAGTGGGACAGGGGAAGGTCATCAAGGACCCATGCCAAGTCAAGGGTATCCCATGAGGAAGAGCGTAGATCGAGATCTAGGGATGCTGATTATGGGAAAAAACGACGCATGATCTCGGATTAAGTCAAATGTGCAGGAGTTTGGAAATCTTGTTAGAAGGACAATGGTTAGGGGCTTAATAAACTGTGTTCACCATGCTCACTCAGAGTCTGTTGCGAGGTGCTTTCTTGGATACATTAGGTGTGGGAGGCGTTCTGCTTTTTTGTGATGTCTTTGGCTTTGGTAGTTCAAATGAGTCCTTTCAAGGTGAAGCTGCCGTCAGTGCAGGGCTCAAGTAAGGTTTCCTCTTCTTTTCTCTTGAAATCTGCGATTTGGTTTTGTTTCCTGTGCGCGAGTAGCTTTGTTTGTTGTTGCTCTTTCTTTCTCCTTTCATTGGGAAGTGATACAATATTATGCATTCGAAATTCCAGTTACCAGTGACTACATTTGATTTTTATCAGTGTTATTGAATTTCTGCTACGGTGGTATGGCGTGGCAGATTTCAGCCTAACCTCTTATAATAAATTTGTGAAGGATGGCGGTTGCGGCGGCCCAACGGGCCGCCAAGGCATGATTTCACCCTGCCACTGTTTTCTGTCATCTGCCATTGATAACATTAATTTTTTTCATGCTTTAGTGATGATGTGTGCACCCAAAGATAACCTTACTTTACCTGTTGTGTTGAGATGGGTCATCACCCATGAATAACATGTGGTTTCTTTATGCATATCTGTTAATTCTCATATGTTCTGAATGACTATGGTTTTGATTTGATGTGATGAATTTCTATTTGTAGAGTAAAAGTATACCACTTGAGCTTGGTATTGTTGGATTCTTTGTTTCTGCGAGCACTAACTTAGTGATTTTATGACACTGTTGAGTGGTGCATGTCTCAGTCTGGTGGGTGCTCCAGATTATTCTTCAGTGATAACAAATCACTGGTTAAATACTTGTTGAGCTGCATTTGAAAATTAGCATGGTGCAAATAGTTTGAACTATTTGGTACTTCTGAGATTTGGTCATACTTTAGATTGTTCATGTTCATCATATGAATTACGCAGCCATGGTTTTGACTTCTTAAGTTGACATTCTCATTGTCATTGGATGGGATATGAGCAGTTTTTATGCGATTGCAGCACGGTAATTTATGTCTCATTTTAGTCTCCAAGAGGAGGTGATTGGTAAATTAAGATCTTCATCTTGAGTTAGTTATTTTGAATAAACTTGATTGACTGGGATGAGAGAGGTTGCAATTAAATAGTATTTAAAATTTAATGATTAAAGTTGATGTGATGTAAAAGTAAGAGACATGATGTGGTAGTTAAAAATATATGAGTGAATGAATAGTGAATTAATGTTGATAGGATGTTGGAGAGAGATAATTGATATTATTTAATTAGATTGATAACATTGAGGATAGAGGGGTTCAGTTAAATTTTGATTATTATTTAATTAGATTGATAATATTGAGGATAGAGGGGTTCAGTTAAATTTTGAATTAAAGAAAGAAAAAAAAAACACCGATCTAATCAAAAAATTAGATTAAAATTGATTTTGATCAGTTTTAAAATTGATTTTGATCAGTTTTTTTAAAGAGAGTAAAAAAATACTGATCTAATAAAAAAATATATATATCAAACAACGCAATGCACCTTGGCTCGCTACGAAAACAACCTCGTATAATTACAAGGGTAAGGTCTGTGTACAACTGACACCCCAGACCCCAACCAGTTGGGAACATACCCCAACTATACTGGGTATGTTGTTGTTGTTGTTGAGTACCAGTGGAGGACTGCGTCGTCGATACTTTGTGATCGAAAAATACAAGTAAGTTTGAAAGTCGAACCCATTCGACTGGCAATGCTTCATGGATCGTTGGGCTACTAACTATAAAAATGATAAAAAATACGAGTGGCAGAGATGAGAATGTTAGATGGGTGTGTGGGCATACTAGGTTAGATAACATTAGAAATGGAAGTATTAGAAATAAAGTTGGGGTTGTGCCCATAGAGGAGAAAATGAGGGAATGACGATTAAGATGATTTGGGCATGTGCGTAGGATTTGTTGTTGTTGGGCATGTGCGTAGGAGACTTCGAGGCCCTGTGAGAAGGGTAGAAACTTTAGAAATAAAAACGTAGATTAAAAGGGAGAGTGGTAGACCTAAGAAAACTTGGAAGGAGACAATAAAAATGATTTGAATTATTTGAATTTGAATGAGAATATGTGTTTTGATCGAGCACGACGACATGCGATCCATATAGCCGACCCACATAGTGGGATTTTAGCGGCTTGTTGATTGACTAATTTTTAACTCCTTGCCATCTTATTGTCATTTTTTTTTTCCTCATGTCATAGCTTGCAGTTTTGTTATAATTTAAAATATCTCACTATTTTATGTTAAGAGAAACAAACGGTTAACTCATCTAAATTCTTTCTACTGCTCAATGGAGACGTTCTTTTCTTCTGTTCCAAATTTCTTCAGAAGCTTCTAGTGTAACTACATTTAGTATACTTTGGTTACATATAGTTAACGGGGGGCTGTTGAACACTTAGCTGATTTAGACAGGGATAAAATGAAAAAGGATGGTAGCATAATGTTAGGAGTGTATGGCTGTCTTTCCTTTAGTGTCCAATCTAGAGCCTAATCCTTATTAGATGCTAAAGTCACCAAAAAACCACAATAGTTTTGTAAACCACGAGCAGATACAGTATAACTGAAAGGTGATCATCGTTCATTGATTATCCTTGTCAATTTTACTATGATTAGTTTTCAAGAGATTTCGTTTTATGCATTTTCCCGTTTTATTTGTTTCATGTAGTTAAATTTAACTTTAAACAAGCAATAGCAACAATATTACTAGGAGCAGAAGGTAGTAGCAATTGGATATAAAATCAGAAAATTATCTTTTAAACTTACCCATACTCAGATGGTGCTGCTGCTATTTCTGTTATCTACATGCCAACACGAGATCTTCTTTATGATGTAAATTTGATGGATAGCACCCTAAAAAGGCTGCAAAGTTGAACTCTAATTTTGAAGCTTTACCAATGGGGAGACTTATAGTTAGTCTAGAAAATGTTTTAACAGAATAATTCCCACACAGAAAGCTTTTAAACAAAACAAGCCTCTCGTGATGTCGACTCGGATTATTAAGGCTTGACTTAGCCTCTGCCAGAGAGCTCGAGTATCAGGAGTTCGAGCTTGGCTCTGCTTTCTTACAACCTTAATTAATTCTCCGTTTGGTGTACCATCACGAAACATCTCCACTCCACCTTGCTTGTTATGTGGCAACAAGAAATGTGCGACAATTTGGATTGCCAATGGAAGTATTTACAGAATCCTCTAATGGTCAGCATTGTGCAAGTTACTCATAGTACCAACTTCTGTTCATCTGGTAGGAATGATTTAGTATCTGCATGAGGTATCAGTTTTGTCATAGGGTTGTATGTTATTGATGGTTAAAAGATCTTAAATCTTCCCATGACTTTGGCCTAGAAATTTACCATAAGCTGGGGTAGCAGTGGGTGGCTGGCTGCTGCACTTGTAATGGTGATAGGTGAAATTGGGTTTTATAATGGCGTGGTTTCTAATTTACACCGACTGTATCACGTGTCATTAGTGCAAAAGTTGTGATATAGCAGCTGTATCACATTGGTAATTTGGTGGACCGTTTCGTATCATGTCATTAGTGTGAATTGTCTACGCATGTTTTGCCTTTCGTTATGCTGTCATTTCAAGTTACTAGCTTTATGCTTAAAAAAAATGTTCACTTATCCCATTATTAGTCTAAGATATTGTTACTGCTTTAACGATCTGCTGATGAAAGATTGATATGTATGATCACTGATCAGTACTTGATATCAGCTTTTGGCTAAATATGTACTGAGTTACCATATCTTTTTGTCCTACTGCAAATGTATCTCACGTTTATCTTTTGATGATGTTAGCTTGTAGGATGTGATTTTGTATCGGGAATTCCTACTGCTGGTCGGGATTCTTGCAGAGATGCTGAGGCGAGACTTTAGTTAAAGAGAGAATCAGATGGCATGGTGACACCTCGTAGGGCTTACCTGTGGAAGAACCTTTTTATTTCAATTGTCGGACTTTTAATTTGTGTTAAGAGTTTTAATATGGCTTTAACAAACCAATATTGTGGATGATGGATAAAAAATGCTGGAGTCTGATGTGTGGTGGATATGTAAGATTGTGTTATCAGTATGAATGTTGTGTATTAGATTGAAGACTCGGGATGTTTGTCGTTATTCAGCCCCCTTTTTTTGTATTTTACCTTTCTTGTAATTTTTTGATGCCCCTTCTCCCTCCTGTCAGTCATTTTATGTTACTGTTGCATTGTTTTTGCAAGTACCATGTAGAAATGCTGAGATTAGGCACTGAGCTCATGTAAAACCAGGTTTTTGTATATGATTACATGTATAGGTTTTTAGGACTGATCTTTTCATATTGTGATTTTCTGGGGAAAACAGTATACTTGTAACCATCATAAGTGGAGGTCACTGTTTTTTGGAGGACCTCTCTTCTTTTGTATATATGATGATAATTTTGAACTCAGATCAAGCATTTCTCCTTGCTCATTATGAATATATATTCTTTTGGTTTACTGGAGGACCTGAAATGTTGGAAGTGATGAAATGAAGCTGAAACGAGCGATGATGTTTACAGTTTGACGGGCTTTGATGTGGAGTTGGGATGTCTTAGCCGTCCGTCCGACTTTCGCTAAGCAAAAGCTCTTTACGCACAATGAACCATGAAAGTGACAGCTTTTTCGTACATGTTCACTTGCATCATCTGACTGCTACTCACAGAGAAGTTCAAGTGGAAGGATATGAAGGAGTCTCGCAACAAGTAAACCCCAAACGGAGCATGCAAGAAATGTACCGTACTGACGGGAAAAGATCGCCCCCACACGCCGTAAGATTTCGTATGCATCTCAAACACGTCACATTGAAGTGTTTTTTAGAGATGTATTTTTCGAAGTTACAAGAATCTTCGAGGATTTTGCATAACCTGTGTCGCTGAAAATCATTGTTAATCAACAATCCGCACTATAGACATAAAAATCAAAGACCAATCACTCCTTAACGAGACTCAAAAGTCTCTTGATTCAGCCAAAGAGAATGTCTATTTCGCGGAATAGACTAATTAGCAGCTACCGTTGGGAGAGCAAATGATGAGTATTGTAGTAGTACACCTCCAAATACTTTAAGTAAATGGAGAAATTATATTGACATAGCAAAATGATAACACAAAAGGATAAACTCTTCTTATAGAAAGTTAAATTTTGTCACACCGTTAACACAAGGTTGGATGAGGACGCAGCGCCATTTGATAAACAATCAATTAATACTTGAAATACTAATCAATACATAATAGGAAGCTAGAAATCAAACTTAAAACTATTTCAAAATATTCAGAGCTGAATCATATGATTTTTTTTTTTTTTTTTTTTTT